AGTAACTGGTCTGGAGTTCTGATAATTGATTTTTTTTTTCTTTGATTTTTGCTTGCTTTTGATCTGCTCAGTTAATTGATCTTCAATTCTGATAAATTGGTGTTCTTTGAAGATTATGATAATTGATTCTTGTAGTAGCTCAGACAACTATCTTGTTTCTGATCTGGTTTGCAACTCAGTTAATTGCTCTTCTGCAGTTCTAAAAATTTTCTGCAAGCTCAGATAACTGTTCTGGTTGTACCTCAGAAATTTCCTTATTATGTTGCATTCAGTTGATGGATGTATTCAGCTTGCAGCTCAGATATTTCCTCACTACGTTGCAGATCAGTTGATTGATGTTTTTCAGCTCAGATATTGCATTCAATTGATGGATGTATTTAGCTTGCAGCTCAGATGTTTCCTCACTTGTTGTAGTTCAGTTGATTGATGTATTCAGTCCAGATACTTGATTTGTTTTGCAAGTCTGCTATTGCGGATTTGAAGTTTCTTTTAGTGAGAAATTGTAGCCCAGTCATTTGGCTCAATGCAGTTAGTTCTTCAGTGTGAATAATGGGGTGGATCAAATGCACCTGAGTTAAATTTCATTATTCCAGCAACTTATGCAGTCCAGTTTGAGGGGCAATGTTGGACAAATTCAGCATAATGCAGACAACGCAATGTAAAAAACTTAGGCAGTCCAGTTTGAGGGGCAATGTTGGACAAAAGACAAAGTGCCAAAGTTATAAATCATTTAAAGGAAACGCTGTCGTTTAAAGTGTACATTGAAGCTCAAATAATGAACACCCAAAACACCGTCGTTTAAAGTGTAAAAGGCTACTGACTTAAAGTATATGTAAAACAGTAGCTCTTCTTCTTTGCAATTAACGAAAGATCAGTAAAAGGCTTTGTGCTTTCTCTCTGTCCTTATTGCTCTCTGTTTTTCGGTGACACTCACATATACACCTCATGATTAAAGTCACATAATCTTTATGCATCCCTTAGTTATGCTTTGAAGAAGTCAAACGCAGTAAAAAGACTTGTTATTTTTTCTATAGTGCTAATATATCAATAATTTTATCATTCTATCTTGTTTTTACAACCTGAAAGAGGTAATTTATTATAAAATAGAAGGAAAACCGATTGTGTTCCCTTGGGATAAATTACGTAAGCTAATCATAGATGAAAGAGAGTGGCATGACGTTCATTATCCAAATAGAAAGAGCCAAATTTTGTAACATGCATGAACTGAGCTCAACATGAAAAGGCTTTGCAAATAAGGTCCAAAGGGCCAAGAGGGACCGCCAAACAGCAGCCTGAAAAACTCCATTAAAGCTGCGGAAAATTGTCCCACAAGGGGATGAACCTGGAGTAGTCCTGGTCTCTAATATTAAGATTCAATTTAAACATGCTTAATCACTTGAACAATTGTCCAAATATTCAACAATAATCAAGTTATTGAGTATGTGGGGAAATGTTAGCCTATTGAATTTCACATTCTAATCTCTCTTAAGGATTTTCCTAGAGCCTACAGGACCCATATTTTTTTATGATGTCTTGAGAACAACTTATAACAATGAGAAACTTTGAGTGAATATACTAGTGCACATAAAATTCATCATACATACACACAATAGATTATTAGTTTCTTTCGAAATAAAAAATATATTTTCCAAGCAATTGAGTTTATTGACTCAGTCATATCATATTGCGAAATAAAAAGCACCTAGAGGAAGTCCTAGAATTATGGGATTCATTCATCAATCATATTTTGTTTTCGCATCATAAAAAATGTATCTATATTATAAATTATGTAGATATCTGCGATAGAGAAGAGAGAAATAATAGGAACAACATTATATCACTAACTGAAACAAACAAATTGGGTGGAGGCACATATAAAATGTGTAATCACGTTATTACAACATTGTAACAATAAACTAGGCAAGCGTTATTCAAATTATAGAAGCTAATTCAGTGCATTTGACACATTTCTCTAATCATCCATCTAGAATTTCGCCTGGAGATCTTTCACCACTTTTACGTCCAACATGAAAGCCTTGGCAAGAAAATCTGGATTAATTGGAGGATTTGACCCAAACACAGCGTCGGCAATAGTAATGACACCGGGGTTCTGGCTGCTTAAACCAGCAAAGGCAAGAGCATTCGTTTTTCCGATATTGAATTGAAAGTGAACGAGACCAATGGGGAAGACGAACACGTCACCCTTGTTAAGAACTTTGCTAATAAGTGTGTTATTAGGATTGGATGTTACGAAACTAATAAGAAGAGTACCCTCCAGAACTACAAGAATCTCAGTGGCACGAGGGTGAGTGTGAGGTGGGTTTTGGCCATAAGGAGCAAAGTCAATACGGGCAGCTGAAATGCCAAGAGTGTTAAGTCCTGGAATTTGATCGACATTCACAGCGCTAACATTTGAACCAACTGGATTGTTCGTGTCTCCAGGCATTTTAACTGAAAAGTAGAAGTCCCCAGCTTTGGCGAGCTTGGGGTCCTTGCAGAACTTCCCATTCACAAACACTGCATCAAACAATCAAATCAGTAAGAATAGTATTAATGCCTAGCTACACATAGGAGAAGAGTTAGCTAGATTATATGAATATACTGAAAGAGAAGTGAGTAAATACCAGCGTTCTTTGGCTCATCGATGGCTACACAGAAGTCCTGAAGAGGACTGGGGTCAAAAGCGGAGGCAAATGAGGAAGCCAAGGCCAAGAGGACAAAAGCCTGAACGAAACTTTTCATTTTGATTATGCTTTCGCTCTATTCTTCAAGAATTAATATTTCTTGGTGAGGGGTGAGAAATGCTGCAAGGCTAGCAACTCTATTTATAGGTGAAATTTATTGAAGCAGTCTCGATTGTTTTCCCCTGCTCGAAGCAGATAACAAAGAGTATTGGCAGTTGCTAAGTCTTCATTGACTATCTTTATCTTAGTTTGCACTTGTTTGATTGAGTAAAATTTGTAATTTCTTCTTTGCTTACATCAACACATTTTTACACATGGAAATGGTCCTCTTTTATATTTTTGCATTTATTATTTTTATCTTAAAGTTTCATGGGATGCTCAGAGTACTGACATATATTTGATTATGAAAAACTGTGAAACAATCAATTTTTTTTTTTTTTTTTAATGACATATATAACAAGTTCTTATTCAGAAATTAATCCCCTTACTGAAAGTGTCAAATTTTAAGGGAGATAATGTTTAAAATTAAATCAATCGCATTTGTTAAATTATTAATGATTAATTTATGAATCATAAAATCAATGATAGAAAATCAATTAAATAGTCATAAAATCAATTAAATTAATGATTGAGAAGAAATAATGTAAAAGATAGTTTTTGAATAAATTATTATATTTTTCGTATATAGGACAAAGATGGTAATTAATTTTATTAGCACCTAAAATTTTATTAATCGATTATTTATCATATATAAAGCCATATGATACATGTGGACCAGGTATTCTGCAGAAATAATTGGAGGAAAATATATATTTGAGTCTTAAAATCGTCTCTGCAGGTATCCATTATGATTCTAAATGTTGACCATCACTTTCTGCTAGTGTTAGATAAAGTCCTTTAGTATTAATTTAACTATAAGAGTTTTTTCAAATGTTGAAAGAGTTTGGATTAGGTTTTTACTTGTGAAATATAATATTATTATGAAGAAGATGAACAAATATACTTTATTGACTTGGTAAAGCCATTACTTGGAAGTTATGCACTTAATGTCAAGATAAGGTAAGTACTTTTAGTCTAGGAGTTATTAAAATTCATAAATGCAAAATTAACGGATCGAATTCATGTGATTCATCGATGTTGCATAATATTTGGTCATCTAAGATTTTAGGAACCCAAAGTCCTCAAAATTGCAGGGTCGTCTACTTGGGCTCTGTTAGTATAACAAGAGAGGTGGAGAACATCAAACGGTGTAGTTTCAATTTACATGGTGTAATACTTAAAACGACGTAGTCTTTGCTTTACTCCTTTTGTGTGAGTTTATAAATACTTAGCCACTGTATGTTTGATAGTTCTGTTAGAGAAGAAGCAAAATACAATTTTACTTGCTCTGTCTTTCTTTCTCGATTTCTCTCAAATCTTGTTTTTACTTTCTACAATTTTCTAGTCCTTACATGGTATCAGAGCCATAGACTAGCATCAATGGCAAGCTCTAATCCTGATTTTTCAGATAATACATCCAAGATTGATGCTGAACAGCTCGGTAATGGAGGTACGTAGAACTTAACAGTTCATTCGTCACTTCCTACTCTCTCGGTGAGGCTAGTGGAAAAGAACTATAACTACTGGCATTCTCAGGTTCTACCTGCATTAGCTTCTCATGATTTAGATTGCTTCATTACAGGTACGAATCCTTGTCTCTCTTTGTTTATAATGGAGAAATTAGAAGGGAATGAACTTGCAATTAAGCGACCAAACCCTAAGTATTTTAGTTGGAAGAAGACTGATCAGTTCTTGGTTAGTTGGTTAGTATCATCAATATTTGAATATGTGTTCAGGCATGTGTCAAAATGTAGTACTGCGTATGAAATTTGGCACACATTGGAATTACATTTTCAATCGGTCTCCAAGGCCAAAACCTTACACCTCAGCATTCAAACTACAACTACAACTCTGCATTTCACAATCTTGAAAACTTTAACTACAACTCTGCATTTCTCAATTTGAAAAACTTATCCTACACTACTGCTCATCTTCAATTCAGTTCTACTCCACTACAACACTTCAACTTTATCTTTCAATGTAACAGCAACATTCTTCAAGCAATCATTGTCTTTACAACACAGTTACAACTAAGCAGCTTACAAAGAAACAATTGCATACAAACTACAATTTTTTAGATTACAAAGAAAAATAATTTCATGACAAACTTCAGCTTAACAATACAAACTGTAACCACACTTTACAGCTATAAGACAGAATTTTGCAATGACTACACGGTTATTCAGATCATCAAAACTTTCATTGAATTTCAACAATTTAAGTAAGAGATGTTGAGTTGACTGAACTATAGGAAGGTGGAGCTTGTACAGTCAGTTTGAGTCTTAGAGTTTCAAACCTGGAGGCTGGCAGAGCCTTTGTAAAGATTTCTGCTTTTTGGTGTTCAGTGGACACATAATGAACCTTGAGATTGTGAGAAGTAACCTGTTCTCTAACATAGTATGCATCAAGTTCTATGTGTTTAGTTCTTCCATGAAACACCGGATTGGACGCAAGAGAACCAGCACTTTGGTTATCACACCAAATAACTGGAATTTCTGACAAAGAAACACCAAGTTCAGAGAATAAGCTGCAAAACCAAGCCAGTTTAGTGGACTCTTGAGCAAGTGCTCTATACTCAACTTTAGTGGAAGATAGAGCCACTACTTTCTGCTTCCTAGAAGTCCATTGCAGTAGATTAGTACCAAGGAAAACACAGCAGCCGCTTGTGGACCTCCTGTCCTCAATACTACTAGCCCAAGCAGCATCGGTGTAGCATTCTAGGTTGATTCTAGTGCTTTTAATGAAGAGAATTCCATAGTTAGAGGTCCCTTTAAGATACCTAAGTAATCTCTTACAAGCTTGCCAATGATTTTGTGTAGGAGCCTTGAGAAATTGACTTAATTTATTGACACAGTAAGCAATATCAAGCCTGGATAATGTCAAGTACTGAAGGGCTCCTATTGTACTTCTATATAGAGCTGCATTTTCATATAGATCACTATCTCCTAAAGTTAACTTGGTGCCAATGGCCATTGGAGTAGCACATGGCTTACAATCCTACATACCAGTCTTTGTTAAGAGATCTTTAACATATTTTTCCTGATTCATATGAAGATAGGAAGCTGTTCTAGTGACTTCAAAACCAAGAAATTAAAGTACTTGAGGGAGCCTAGGACCTTTAAGGAAAACTGAGTATTCAGTTTATGTATTGTTTCATGCAGCAAATTGGTGTCATTTCAAGTAAGTAAGCTGTCATCAACATATACTAGAACATACATGGTTTTCTCCATTTGTTGATAAACAAAAAGACTAGGGTCAGCAACTGAGTGAACAAAATCTCAGCTTAAAAAGGCCTTTTTGAGCTGTTCAAACCAGGCTCTAGGGGCCTGTTTTAGACCATAAAGAGGCTTAACTAACCTACACACATGATAAGGGTGTTGAGAACTAATAAAACCTTCAGGTTGAGTCATGTATACCTTTTCAGTAAGCTCACCATTAAGAATGGCATTATTTATATCAACCTGCTGAATTTCCCAGCCATTGTTCATTGCTAAGCTTAAAATAACTCTGATTGTAGGTGACTTAACCACTGGACTGAATGTTTCTAAATAATCAATTCCTGGATTTTGTTGAAAGCCTTTTGCCAGTAGCCTTGCCTTAAACCTTTGAATGGATCCATCAGGATTGTACTTTATTCGAAATACCCAGTTGCAGCCTACAAGATGCATTTCAGCAGTAGCAGGTACAAATTCCCAAGTTTTATTAGATAGCAGGGCATCAAATTCAAATTGCATGGCAGCCTTCCAGGCAGGATGTGATAGAGCTTCTATGACAGTAGCTGGTTCTTTAGTGTCAAGGGAAAGGGGTGAAACAAGACATGTAATATGTGCTATGGTTTTGGACCTAGTAATCATGGGATGAGTATTTAGAGTAGGTGGTGGAGGCTTGGGTAAATTCAGCTCAACAGTAAGGGGAACAGTATCATAAGACTCATCTGATCCTATAGTGATAGGTGATAAAATAGATGATGTGGATGAGGTAGAGTTAGGAGAAGTAGTGGGTAAACTAAGTGCAGTTGTTGGCCTGGACTGTGAAGTGGTTGAAGGCTGAGGGAAATGAGATTTTGGAGAGTGGGAAGGTGATGAAAAAGGTAAGCTAGAAGAGGGAATGTCCTGTGAGATTGACTGACCTAGTGTGGAAGGACAAGTGGATAAAATTGGAGCTAAAACATGATTGGAAGGCATCCTGAAAGCAGAATCAGGTATATGCCAAACTGAAGGAGCAGATGTACTAGAGACAGATTCAGTGTTTATGGAATTAGATGCAAGATTGGAATTAGAAAGATTAGATGCTTTAAAAGGAAAATCATATTCATCAAACTGTACACTTTGACAGATATAAATTCGACCAGAAGTATCCAAGCACTTGTATCCCTTATGATTTAAACTATAACCAATAAAGTGCATTTGGTGGTGTGAAAGTTAAATTTGTGACTGCTATAAGGGCGAAGGAAAGGGTAGACAGCACACCCAAAGACTTTAATGAGGGAATAATTTGGAAAAGTTTTAAATAGAACTTGGAAAGGAGAAAGATTGGACAATAGTGATGTGGGTAGTCTATTAGTGAGATAGGCAGCTATTTGAAAGGCAAACCACCAAAACTTAAGAGGCATGCTAGCTTAGGCTAATAAGGTCAGTCCTTGTTCAACAATTTGCCTATGTTTTCTCTCTACTCTACCATTTTGTTGATGAGTGTGAGGACATGGATGTCTAAAGGTAATACCATGTTCTTGTAGGTAAGGTACTAGTTTCCTATACTCACCACCCCAATCGGTTTGAACACATTTTAAAGAAGTGTTCAATTGCTTTTCAACTAGGACATGAAATTGTTTAAAAGTGTTGAAAGTTTCAGATTTAACCTTGGAAGGAAAAATCCAGGTGAATCTACTATGATCATCAAGGAATTGAATGTAATACCTATAGCCTTCGGGAGATGTGATAGGGGAAGGTCCCCAAAGGTCTGAATAAACTAATTCAAGTGGTTTAGACGCATGATATATGGATCTAGGATAAGTGGACTAGTGTAACTTGCCAAATTGGCAAGCAGAATAGAATGTTATATCATTTTTAGCAGGATGAGGTAGTTTTAAGGTATCGTACTTTTGCAAGAATGGTGGAATTAGGATGACCTAATCGGTTGTGCCACAACATGACATTAGTAGACTGAACAGGAAATGATTGAAGAGAGTTTGTATTATTGATTATAGGTGCATCATCAGTACATATTACAGTGTTGGATACAAGTGGTCTAGTGTATTGCATGTAGTTTTGATTAACAAAATCAACACAAGCAGATTCACAATTATTGAAAGCATGTTCTGACATCAGTGGTGTAGACAACATTTTTGCAAGAAAAGAGATGCTACAAGACTTATTACATGACTTATTTGTTGACAAGACTGGATTACTTTTATGCTGAAGTTGAACAGAATGTTCCAATTCTTCTGCAGAGGTAGACAATGAGTGAAATTGTCAAGTTTAATATTTATGATGCCATGAAATATCCTGATGATGATGATGATAATCATGCTTATTCTATTGATGTGATTGATTCTTTAGCACATGAGGTTTTTGACCTTGATGGAGAAGACGGATTGGAAATTGCCATAAGTAATCATCTTGAGAAAGAGAATGCGGAGTTTGCCTTGAGTACTAATTTGCAGGAAACAGTTGCAGCATGGAATGATTCTTTAAAGTTACAGCAGCAGTCAGGTAACGTTCCTTATATTACATTACCAATTTCTAACTAGAAGCCTTTACCCTCTGTTTTGAAGGCCCCCATTCCAGATTTGAAGCCTCTCCCTAGTTACCTCAAGTACATGTTCCTTGGAGACGGAGGAACGTTACTCAGTGCATTGCAAGAAGAAAAGCCTTAAGTCGAGCCAACGACAATAAACAAAGGCTCTGCTTGGGAGGCAACCCAAGGGGAGTTTGTTTTCTTTTCTCGCATTTTAAATTTTGGTTATTGTTGCCTTTTCTTTGCATTTCATCTTACATTGGGGACAATGTCAGTTTTAAGTGTGGGGGAGGGGATTTAGGTTGTGTTTTAATTTATGTTTAAAAAAAAAAATATAGTTTTTTGTTTTTAGGAAGCTTTATGCTTTAAGTCATGTCTTTGAACGTCTATTGATGCATGAAATAGTAATTTGACTTTGTTGTTGAGCATATTCCTTGACTTAGGATGTTACCAATATTTCATAAAATAGAGTTAATCATATTTGAATCTTTGTAGTTTGAAACAATATGTCTTGAGAAGTTGTGAACTTAGTGACGAAGCATGATTGAGGATTGTATAGCAACCCTTAGGAAAAAAAATTGTTTCTCTTAAGCTAATCCTAAATTTGGGTTTAAGCAAATAGGAAAAAGAAAAGAAAGGTATACGGTGAGTCGAGATGGAGCGTAAAACGCACTCACTTATAAACACAACCATGAAATGAGATGGAGCATAAAATGCTCTCATTCTTTTTCATTCTTGCATTAGCTGTGAAATGTAAGCTAGATTGGACCCTGTTAAGAGGATATCATCAACATATACTAACACATAAGTTAGATAAGAATCTTGCTTACAAATAAAAAGACTAGAATCAGAAATAGAATTCAGAAATCCTTTGCTAAGTAGGGTTGTTTTCAACTTATCAAACCAAGCCCTTAGAGCTTGTTTAAGACCGTATAAATCCTTTTGTAACTTGCATACAAAAGTAGGCTGAGAAGAATCTTCTAATCCAATCGGCTGATGTATATACACTTCTTCATTCAAGGTCCCATTCAGAAATGCATTATTCACATCAACTTGCTGAATATCCCAACCATTTGTTACTGCCAAAGTCAGAATTATTCTGATTGTAGAAGGTTTAACCACGGGACTAAATGTTTCAAAGTAGTCAAAACCAGGGGTTTGTTGAAACCCCTTGGCAACCAACCTTGCCTTGTACTTTTGGAGTGTACCATCAGCATTAAATTTGGTGCGAAACACCCATTTGTTTCCTACCACATTCATATTAGGAGATAAAGGTACAAGCACCCAAGTGTCGTTATGAACAAGTGCATCAAACTCAGATTTCATGGCTGCTTTCCAATTAGGACTAGCTAATGCATCAAAAACTGAAGCTGGTTCTGTTTCAACTTGGAGTTGTGGAGAAATATATAGAGAAGCAGAAGATGCAGTAGGAAAACCAATTCTGAATTTGAGGAATCTTTGTGCAGGACAGTAGCAAAAATAGGTACAAAATCCACATTTTTTGTAGTAAGGCAAGCAGTAGGATGATCAACATCAGCACTATGATCAACATCAGCACTGGTTTGAACAGAGTTTATGGCAGCAGCTTTTGCTCTTGTCACCATAGAATGAGTATTTGTTGCTGCTGACTGAGAAGACATTGAATCTTTGGAGAATTTTGACAGTGTAAGATCAACTTCAAGTGAGCAAGACGGAGGTATAAAATGGGATGGTATAATGGGCAGAGAGGAATAACTAATGGGTGAAATAGTATTAGTATTAGAGACTATGTTTAGAGGTTGACTAAAAACTGAAGAAAAAGGTAAAGGTGCAGATGCAACAGGTGGTTGTACAACAAAATTTGAAGAAAAATGTGCAGATGCAACAGGTGGTTGTACACCAGAATTTGAAGAAAAATGTGTAGATGCAACAGGTGGTTATACACCAGAATTTGAAGAAAGAGGTGTAGATGCAACAGGTGATTGTACACCAGAATTTGATTGACTCTTAGTATTTGGTGGAATAGCAGATTTAGATTGACTCTTGATGTGATCTGGAAATAGAGGAGTAGGATTTAATGCAGTAGTAGAGTTAGAATTATTACCTCCTGTTACACCATTGTTAGACTTGTTTGTAGGGCTGAATGTTGTAGGGAAACCAGAAGCTTGACCAGAGGAAGTTGGATAAACAGCAACAAATGGGAAAGAAGAAGAAGTTTCAATGTGAGTTTCTTGGGTAGTAGGTGATGAGAATGTAGA